TTTTATTTTTAACAAATTTGTATTAAAGTTTTGATTGTTTGAGGCACATGAGATGAGATTAAGTTAGTTAGTAGTTGTTCCTTGGGTGTTTGATGTGGTGTAAACCTGAGTTGAGGTGTCTTAGTATGTGGTTCAGATGCAGTTAAAGCACCTGTTCTGTTAAAGAAGAAACCTAAATATTAAGTAACCACCCACATATGTTGGTGATATTTTTAAAGAAGTAACTGTCAGCGGAAGGTACATCACTGTGTTGGGTTCTTTAGACTTAATGATCAAGTATTCTGTGTTATTCTTGAGAGACATGTACAAATGTTTAAGTAAGAAATTCATGTTTACAGAAGGATAACTCGTCTATCGATATGTTAACTTTTCTTCATTAAATCTGATTTTTCTTGATTCTAGGAAATATACATTTCTAGAAGAATGTAAGCTTCTAACATGATGTAGTGTTTATTACAGGTGAAATAGAACTTCCACCTAGTTCTGAAGAAGAAGAAGAAAATCCAAACAGAAATGTAGAAGATGAAATAGAACTTCCACACAGTTCGGAAGAAGAAAATCCTAATGAAAATGTGAAAGAATTACCACCTTCAAGGTTAGTTATTTCATACGATTTTCCCCCAATGGCACAACCGTACGTCTGTGGACTTACAACGCTAGAAACTGGGTTTTAATACCCGTGGTGGGCAGAGCACAGATAGCCCATTGTGCAGCTTTGTGCTTAATTATAAACAAATTCCTACGGTTTTGAAACTTTTGCGTGCCATAACGGTTGGTTAATGTGGGTGAGAGTTTGTAAATTGAAAAAAAAAACGTAGAAAAGAAAAATCTCACCTTTTTGTTTTGATATACGTATTATGTGTTCTTATTTTTACATCTGTCTCTTGTGTAGAAATAGGGTCTTTGTTGTACGTTATGAAATAAAATGCCCTTATGAATTTGATCAATTTGAAGTATCTTTAAAAATATGATTTACTTATTACTTTATGATTCTGAATAGTCATTTTACAGGTTCTTTGTCAGATTTGTAAAACATTTGTATGTAATCTATATAAGTGCAAATGTTTCTCTCTCTGTGGGTCTGTTCCCTATGCACGGCTGCATCTTTAAAACTCCAAACTCTGGGTACAGGTGCAACTTTGTGTGGGAAGTAACACGGGCTATGTGGCCATGGTCTCAGGAGGCCAAAATGATCAATATAGCAGGAAGATCATTTGGTCTCAAATTGAAAAGGCCAGATGTGTTTGATCAAGAGGCTATTATTTACGTTTCATCTCTACGTGAGGACTTCTAATCATTCTATCCATGATCAATTATTTGTTGAAATGATTTAAAAACATTGTGGAGCCTTCATTTGTGACTTCCCCTCTCTTCCTTCTACACATACATGTCTATTCTCTAACTCCCCTTAACTGCAAAAGGCTGGTGCTTCCTCTCGAACATGCGCACACACACTCCCTCAACTAAATAGGCTTGCTTCAGCCATATATTTTGCTTTGCTTGCGTGTACTTGCAAGAATCAGCTATACGTTGACTTTACAAAAACGATTTGGTATCGGCAAATTTTCTTGTACGTGGTGTTGCAACAACAAGAGAATAAGTCAATTCTTCGTTAAATGGAACGATAATAAAGCCAGAATACGCTGCAAACGACAATTGACCACACAGCAGAAATCAGGACACCAAAAGGTAGGGAACTTTGTTTTGTAAACTTGAAATGTCTCGCAAGAAGCAGAAACAAAGTACCCGGTTTTGTTTTGATCAAAATATCTTTCGCAAATTTTTATTATTTGCACATTGTTACTTTTATTGATTTGAATTAAAACAACTCAGGATATTTAAAGCCATTTTCATCCATGCAATGTGGGGTATTCTGCTAGTTTTAAATATTTCAAATTTGTTTAGCTTAGAAATGACCAGTGGAAAATTGAAGCTAGTATATTTATTGAATTTATATTTCTTATATAAATTTGCTAAGTCAAGAGTGTAAATAAGTTTTTTATAATTGGCTTCATCTTAATGGTAGATAATGATTTTGAAGAGTACGGTAGGTCCGGAAGGAGCCGTTGAAATGATTCATCAACTGACTTGTCACTCGGGCATCCTTTTAACAGTGACAACAAGGATTGAATGTCTTAGTTAAATGTTATTTGTAAAAACGATTTTAAATTCATGATTTTATCATGAATAAATAGGGCTCTATTCCATAATACTCAACTCTCCCATTTTTAATGATTCAATCGTGAAATTTAAATATATCGTATTTACAGTGGCTTTTCACTATACAAAAAAGTAAAATATTAAGCTGCATTTTGTTTTTATTTCTTTGATGTAAAGAAGTTAATTTTATATTTTTGACAGTAGTGATGAAACAGATGATCAGAAGGAAGAAGATACATGTTCTCCAAGAACTGAACATCAAATTACATAATCTTTCCTGAAAACTTGCAATTTTTGTATATATAATAATTATAGATTATGATATATGTTCAGTCCTTTGTTTATGCTTACAGATATGAATAAACTGATAAAAAATTAAGTTGAAGCCAGTGATTCATTGCTAGTCTCATCACATTCTTGAACTGTAGCACCCACACAATTGTACTTTAGTTTATATTTTGATTGGCTTTGACTTAGAAGATTTTGAAGGAACAATAGATTACAAGCAACATTAGCTCACCAAAACTTTTAAACATCAAAGATTATAATACAAACTTTGACATAAAACACAATGTGATAAACAACAGTTGTGAGATTAAATCATTAATATAAAATTGTATCCTTTGTAGATCGTTTAGTTTGCAGGGTTTCATCTAGGGTTAATCAAATAGCTTATATTGTAAATACTAGTCAGGGGTTTCCAACAATCTGTCTGTGTTCGTGTAGTAATACTGGTACTTTTATCACAAAATGACAATTTCAGTGATCGCACTTACAAGGTTTTTCAGTTGATAGGTAATTCACTGTTTGAGTACACTGAAAGAACAAACTAGTTGGAGTGACGAAAATCTCGAGGGAAAGAAAAAAAATTCAATTTGTTCAGAAATACGAGCGTTCATGAAATATACAGCAATTTAATGCTTTTTTTTCAATTATTTGTTATTTCCAAAGATTGCATACGTTATAAACACACAAGTTGTTCAAACAGATAGTCCGTAACGATCTTTGATGATAAATACTCAAAACGGAGCTCTGGCGGTGTAAGTACAAAACAAGCATTAATGCTATCAAGACTGTTTCGGACGAAGACTAACACGAATAAATTAAGCCTGAAATTTAATCTAGCGAGGTTTCAAACGACTGCTTTTCTTTAAGCTTTATATGAAAAAATTATGCCTGAGAAAGAGCAATTACTCGGAATATTTATTTATTGCATTTCTACAGTGATTTTACTTTATTGTATTAGTTTTCCAATGTTGCACCCATTCCAATTTTTCTGTAACAATCGGTGTCATTGACATACGCATTAAACTTAATGGTATAATTCTATAAATATTTAAAAATAGACTTTAAGACTCTTGGTAAAAACTAGTTTGTAGAGCCATTAACCGAATTTCAGAACACGCGAAGAATACCTGAAGGTCAATGGGTTAATTCCATAACTGTGTTGCCTAGCGTCGCCTAAGGCTGGCTTTCGACCTGACAGTATGGTAATATAGGCGTTTTCAAAGTACTACAAAAAGTACGAAATGATTTTATATGGATATGAAACCTGTTGAATGTTTGAAAAATATTTAATTTCTTTACACGGGTAATATAAGATGGATATATATTCTTGTCCCGGCATCTTCCTCGTCCCCCAATAATCCACTCTAAATATTAAAATCTAACTGTAATTTATTTTAAATCTGGTGTTATTCTTACCGTAAGAAGTTGGTACAATAAATGGGGTCGATTATTTTAGAAACAAGCTTGTATACAAGTTCTATTTTTATCTTGAGAGCTTGTTTAAAAAAAACAGCGTTTCCTCTGAGGTTAAGAAGCCTAAATTGGCCGTGCTTTAGTCTTTACTGTGGTGAATGGACTTTATGCTTCAGCAGCACGTAACGTTCACCTTTTTTTTTTCGGACAGGCCCGGGAGATGGGGCTCATGGTCTATTGTTCGTTTAGTTTTAAGTCTGTTCGTACGCTCAGCCTGAATTAAACAAAACCAACTATTGAAATACCCATGCTCACTCCCTTCAAACGAATACGTATATTTTTGTTTATAGTTTCCCAACCATTACAAACACGCAGAATAGGTCAGATCAAATTCGCGGCAGGAATTAAGGTGTAAAAGTCTTACAAACCTCAATAAAAGATTTTGCAGTCTAAAAGACAATCCGGGGTGGTCAGAAACTTTTGCCTCTCTTCGGGCCACGCGGTGAAATGGTTAATGTCATACGAATTTTGATAGATCTATTGGGCATAAAATAACGTTCTAGCACATTCTAGAAAGATTTTGATATAGTAAAGGAAGAGTCTGATGATTGAAATATTAAAAAACGTTTATATAGAGTTCGTCCGTGATTTGTTTATTACTCATCAAACGTCCTGATAGAAAAAACATTGATCACGTTACTTAAATAGGCAGCTGTTTACAATTTAGCCTTACAATTAAAATCATGAATAAATGCCCCCTCTAGTGTTTTGTCTTCGGACTTACAACGCTAGAAACCGGGTTTTGATACCCGAGGTGGGCAGAGCACAGATAGCCCATTGCATAGCTTACAAACAAACACGAATAAACAGACCGTTTGTGTCAACTTTAAGCAAGTTTTGTTACAGTAGTTAAATGAAGCTTGTCGTAATTAGAACTGTGATTATTTTAATATAATCTGTTTTAATTGCTAGAAGAAAGTCGACTTAATCAAGTTATGTAATTTTGCAACAATTGACTAGTCAAACTTCAATAAATTAACAACAACTGTGTTTTTCTGTAAGTATGTAAGTTATTTTCAAATTATGAAATGAAGAAAAAGGTATTATGTATACTGAACAAATGAAAACATAGGTTTAGACGAAGTATATTAACTGGGTATGTATAACAGTTTTATTTAGTAATATTTTAGACAAAGCGTGAATACATATATAATAGAAATAATACATAATAGATAAATGTTTTATAATTCTTAATTAAGCTAGTACAACTGAGCATGCGCATAAAATCTTCTTTGGGTGTTTGCTATTGTGAATTTCCCACAAGTAAATATTTCAGAAGTTATTTTTTTACCAAGTTACTAAATTACTCATGTTAAAGTAAAGAGCGATTCAATTCTACATGAATTTATTTACAACCAAACTACTGTACTTACTGGCCTATTTGTCAAATTTCTCGTGCTTTTCACACTAACTGATATTTCTCGGGTTAAACTTATAAATTTACATTATGTCACATTAAGTTCTACCCCATGACTTATAATTTACATTTAAGTTCAGGATCGTGCAGTAATTAATGGCCTGTAAAATGAACGTAAATCACATGTAGTTTTAGGTGAATTGGGTAAAAAAAAAACGAAACTCTCGTAAACAGAATATAAAATAAGCATGAAATGTAGCTTATCGGGGTTATCGAACCCCGATTTTTAGCATTATACATCTTTAAGTTTACCGCTGAGTGATTGGGTACCATGATGTAGAAATATTACTAAAACGTTCTGTAAGACGGAAAAAAAAAGTTACAGTTAAACGAATAAATAAAACTTTTTAAATATTTCTGACTGTCTTATACGATTTCATTACAAAATGCTATTGAATAAAATTGGTACTAAAGTACAACTGAAAAACAACCAGAAAACAGTCACTTCAGCAAACAGTTTAAAAATGTATACAAACACGATTTTCTACAGATACAATAAACAATTTAAATTAAATTGGACCATTAAATCAACAAAATTACATGTTTAGTAAATTAAAAACAAATATATTTCAGGTCAATGTGTTTAGTTTTTTAGCAAAGTTGATGAATCTATTTATAACTTTCCGTGGCAAACTTTGCTAACTTGATAACAAGTGTTAGTGTCACTACATAAACTTCGTGTTTCTTGCTATAAAAAACACACCATAAAAATCAAACTTACTCATACGTTCACTTACTAAAGAAAAATTTCTGTTATCTTGTGAACATATATTTATTCCATATCCCGTCAGATATGTTGCCTTTTGTGTTTTATTATTTTCATTTTGTGATAAAACGAATGTATAAAAAAAACATAACCTCAAATTATTGTTGTAAATTGTTCTACAATAAACTTAACGTTGAGCTACTGGATATCATTTGATATAGTATATCCTAGTATAAACATGCCCTGAAAAATCTTGAGCTTTTCTTTTGTTGTTGTTACTGGTGTTTTAAATCAACACCACAGTGATGTTTTTAACTGCTCACCAAATTCCAAAGAATTCTTAGAATGATCTTTTGTTACAGGCTTCTTTTTTCCGAAACAGTTGGCGTCGTTTCTGCCGATCTCAATAGAATAAGCAGCGAGACGTGTGGTGGGTATCGATGAGCTGGAATACTGAGACTGGGAACCATAGCTGGAAAGTTTCTTTGAACAAAACATTGGGTGAATTAAGACTCCAGCTGTAACTGGTAATTCTTCAACTGGAAAAACGTATATAGGTTGTGTTGTTGTTGGTAGACTTTGTGGTGATTGGCCACTGAGCCAAGCAAGTAAACTATCATAGTGTGTTGAATAAATAGGGTCTTTAGCCTGTACGCCTGTCATGTTAGGGTTAAAGTGATAACACTGACACGCTTCACGAACACTGACAGCGGCGCAGGCCAAAGACAGAATGCAGTCCAACACGGCTAGGGTTAGTAGAACAGCATTGACAGCTACAGCGGAGGTTTTCATGTTTATTTCCCCGAGGAAGGAAACCCGGAAACCGGCTGCATCGACGTAATAGCTGTTTGGAGTGTTGCTATCATGGGCAAGACCCGTAGCCGTGAGCACGACAGTAATTCCCGACGTGGCTATGCATAATAGCGATAAACAGAGAAACGATACCAGGTGCACAGTGCTTTCCGGGCGCTTTCCTGAAGTCACACCAGATATACCGGCCACTACAACAAACAAACCCGCCCACACCCCACTTCCAATGTCACCCATGTACGCGTCCATTCTCAGAGTTAGCGTGCCAAATATCAACATCAGCAGTCCGCAAACTATTTTTGACATCCCTAAAGAAATTGCCAGCTTCCGAGGGAAGAAAAGCCCAGTTTCTTCGACTTGAAGTTCATGACACATAGCATTTTTGCTGTTTGACGAAGTCATGACATCCCCTGCCCGAGACATTCCAAGGCAAACTTCCAGACGAATGTTTTAAAACTTATATTCGTACATAAGATATACCTAAAACCAAAAATGTCAACAATTATTAATGATATATAAAGTTAATTCATCATTCACAAACAAGGAAGAATTACAACATTGCCTGGATAGAACACGTGGTATAATAAGTAACATCTACAAGTTAGTTGTGAAGCTAATTTAAAAAAGAATCCTAAATTAATATCTTTGTTTTCACATCATCAAATGGGTTTTTATAATTATAGTTATGTGTTGTCATACGGAATTGTTTTGAACTAATCTCTGTTTTATAGGCCAGAGTACTTCTTTAAGAAACCGTCAGGAATATCAAAACTTTCCTGGGAATGTAACCATATTTTTTAAGGCTGATTGAGTTGCTGTAAGTTTTTCATTTAAACTAGAACTATTAAACATATTACCACATTTCTAAAATTGACTAGACAGCATGATTTCTTTAAGTTTGAAAATACTAAATGTCATTATTATTATGGCTTTGTTTAATTGATCATGACTAAACTCACCTCAAAAATCTTTACAGTACACGAACCTATCAGCAAAAATTTTAGTTGTCTTATTCCTTGACCATACAATACTAAACAAAACTTGGAATAAAGAACAGGTTTAGATACAGCTCGTCCTTCGGTTGGTTGAACGTGCACCTCGGTAAATACACGAGATTACAGACGCACGTGACGGTTTTATTTAACTGTTTTAAAAACCTGACTGACTCGATTCTTCAACAAAACTTGCTTGGATAAATCTAGGGCCTAGATTTCAATCCTTTGAGAACAAAAATTAGTTTTCTGGAAACGTACTTTCGACAAATAAATTTCAAAATATTTTATTTACGAAGTCTTGGTTTAATTCTTAATTATGTCACTATTTTTTTCATTCTATCTTGAGTTAATGCATGAAACTTGTAAATATAATAAGATATTCCAAACAACTAATCTTAACAGAATGATAAACTTAAGAAACCCTAGGTCATACACATCCTTCTAAAATAGCCTCTCCTCAGTAAATCAGCAGTAAACGCAGTTATCTCACACTGACTAGAAGGAATCCTCATTAGTCGCGGCATTTAAAATTATTTTAAGCAGGATTAAAGTAAATTAAATTACGAGACCTTTTTTCCAGCGTTATTAGCTATATTTCTGTACGCCAGCATGGGGGCACGCGTATACCCGATTCAATTTTATTACTCATCAGGATCTCTATCAGCCTACTTTCAAATCGGAATTCTTTTAGGCAGAATTAGAATAATCTACGATACCTTGGATGTGGTCAAAATACATAACGAATTTATTATTATATATTTATTTTAATATCAACGTTTGTTTAGATTAAGTATATATTTAAAAACATGCATAGTTTATAGTGTTAAGATATGTTTTGCGAAACTCCCGCCTGTTCTCCAAAGCCTTCACATGCCTATAAATATAACCAACGCGCCAAAGGAGAGAGTATCTATTATTAGTTTGCTATAAACTTCGGAAGCTATAACTGATTGTTATAACGCTTACCAAACGGGAAAACTACATATATTTGACCAGGAGCATTTACAAAGTTTGAACATTATAACTCATTTAACTTCAGAGGATACTCATGGGACATTAGTATTTTTACGAAAACATTTCATAAAATCATTGTGGAAAACTCTGCGTGTGTGGCTTGTAAATAACGAAGGACAAAGCTAGCTAGCTTACCGTGAAGTGAATTATACCTACGTTAACCCTCGATAAGATAAAGGAATTTCCAGACTAAAAGGAAGACTTTATAGTGCTTGTAAGTTTGTGAGAAACTGTTTATAAATCATTGTTTGTAATAACTCTTATTGTAAATTGTACTGTTGTGTATATATTAAAACGTATTTGTTAAAAAATTAAACTATCAATCTTGTTGGCAAATATCATGAACTGACCATAGTCTTTTACTTAACTACTAAATTTAAAGTATCATTCATCTCTGTTTCAGACCATTTGAAATTCCAATACGTAACATACATCAATTAAAGGGATTTGACTTCGCGAGTTCAATACTGTAATTATATCTCAAATCGGACAAGAGATGGTGGAGCTATAAGCTGAAAAATCAAAACAAAGACTGGCCATTCTAAAAATAAGCAGTCTAAAATATTTTGTTAAAAAGGGACGACTTTTCTTCAGAAGTTGTGTACGTAATCACACAGTCATCGTATGTTTTAATCTGTTATCCAAAAAGCACCAAATGTAGTATATTTGATCAGTCATACATTGTGGATTCAGGGCCAATAAGTTGCGTGTCTCTAAAAAATTGTTTCTTTAGTATATTGCCAGTTTTATTCGGCATGGAATAGTTTTCTTCCAGTCATTTATGCTAGTACGTATATATTAAACTAACAATAATTGTATGATAATCAAATGTTCTTCCCTCTACTAAACTCTTACTTCAGGTCACTCTTCATGACAACCTTTTCCTTCCTCTCGATCATCACTCTCAAGGCATGCACAATCTAAGATCCCTTGGATGTGGTCGAATACATCAGTTTAAAGTAATTATTTCAAATCGATCCAAGTGACGGAGCTACGTTTGTACTTAAAATACTGAACCGTTCTACAAGACACGGCTAAAAATTGGGTTGTTTCATCTCTACATTGAATGTGGAAATGGTAAACCGTGTAGCTTTTGGTTTAACAAAAATCAAGTCGCTATTCTACTAGTAAAAAATGTTAATAAGCAACTACCTTTAAAAATGTTAATAAGTAACTACCTTTATAGAGAACTTGAAATTAATTTTGAATTGCGTAAACAATTGTCCTTAATAAACCTGACGGGGATAAATTTAGTGCGCTAGTACAATCTGAATCTCCGGGTTAAGATTACATCACTATTTTGTTAAATCTCAATAGTTAAAAATCATGGTATGTAATACCTCAGAAGTCTGTATACTTAAGTCAGCCACAGAACCTGGCTAGCATCATTTAGTAAGCACGTGAACTTTTCTTGTCGATAACTTCCCACACTTGTAATATGTAACAATGTATAATAGTAGGTGGTAATCAGTGTAACAACTGAAATTCACCTTCATCCAAGGACCCCCCCCCCTACTGGCGAACAATGTTTATTACAGTATCTACAAACTTCCAGTACAAAGTCTAGAGCTGGTGTACGTATATACATACATATTAAAGTTGTAGGAAGAACACTTTACTCCAAGCTAGCATCTTCCGACATATATTTCAACTTATAAAATCCAGACTAGACGTGTTTTATAGATTTACTAAAAAGGTAGGCGTTGGACGCACACGGCCCAAATAATCAACGTTCCACAGCATAGATTTAACCAAAGCTTTATTTACAACAGTATAAACAATACAGTTTCATCACAGCCCAAGTGTCACGATGACTCATCCAGGTAACAACTGATATTATAGGAACAATACATGTCAGCTTGTAGAGAACTGGTGGTTACCTGAGAGAGAAAAATACTGAGCTATAATAGACTTATTTAAAAACCAGATAAGCATTAATTTGAATAAAAAAAAGCTTCAGTTCTATTATATTTATCGACATGATTATATCAGACAAGAGGTGTGAAAATCATCACAAGCATATATATTTTTATAAAAAAATAAAAACCACAAAGAAGGAAAGTCCTTATTTTATTAGTATCAGTACTAGTAACCAATCAAATACATACATTACCAAAACTAAAGTACTACAACTAACTTCACTTGTCAGAATTATGAAAAATAAGAACAGAATCAGTTATTTTTAAAGCACTACAACTTGTAAAGTTCTTACCCTCTAGAGTCTAATGAAGTCCAAGTTGAGGAACCTGTAAAAAAAGAAACACTTTTATAACATCTTCAAACTAACAAACTAGCTTTCATTACAAATATATCACACTGATCAGTTAGGCAACAAGTCCTCACCTTCAATTAGGCGGTGTCCTAAGATGATTCATCATTATCAGATTGGAACAATTACATAAACTAATTGTTATAGAAATAAACCAAACATACCTGCCAACCTTGGACAATCTTCACCATCCTTGTATCTACAGAAGAGAGAGAACCAGTATAATACTCATTCTAACAAAGAATTATCACAAAACTCAGTTTAATAAAAGCTTCAGTTATAAACTACGATCATAGACTTGTCTCTCTAGAGGTGTCAGGTCCTAAAAAACTCATCACTGCTTGTAATAAACTTTCAGTAGCAACACTCCAAAGTCTAACTATAAAACAAAAGTTTCAACTTACCTTTACAGTCTCAGTATACCACCTAGTTCATTTCACATCAGTCTTGGTTCATTTTCAGCCTGAGAAAGAAAGAACAATGTAACATATCGAAGGTAGCAAAAACGGTTAAACAAACATAAAACAATCTGCTCAGAAAAGAATAATCTTTCATTAAATTATCAGAGACTCTAGTCTGAAAATCTGGAGTTTCTTCATAGCACATTCTAGTACAGTAATAACTTTAACAATGTCCAACTTTTCACAACTCTGAATTAAACAAGTTTCTAACCTCACTTCCATATTATTGTCACAGCTTCACTAGGCCAGAGGAAGGTCTTCTACCTAGAATTAAAGATCAGTGTAGATGTAAAACATGCTACAAACAAAAACAAAGTGAATTAATAACAAATAAGTTCAGCATTGGACAAGTGTCAGCTTTGGTTTAACACCTCTGAACTCTAGCCTTTCATGTCATCATTACTTTATTAACCAGTTTAACACCTCTGAACTCTAGCCTTTCATGTCATCATTACTTTATTAACCAGACAACATCAGTTTAACACCTCTGAACTCTAGCCTTTCATGTCATCATTACTTTATTAACCAGTTTAACACCTCTGAACTCTAGCCTTTCATGTCATCATTACTTTATTAACCAGTTTAACACCTCTGAACTCTAGCCTTTCATGTCATCATTACTTTATTAACCAGTTTAACACCCCTGAACTCTAGCCTTTCATGTCATCATTACTTTATTAACTAGA